AAAATGGCGGCAGTGGTGGCGCCACAGCGCCCGGGCAGCACCCTGCGTCTAATTCCCCTCAGCCGGGCCGGACGAGAGAGCGGGAAGCGGCGATTGCTACCCGGTCTTTTCCTAACACCGCCGCAGGGGAGAGCCGCCCTCCAGAGTTTGCGAGAGCCGGCCGGCTGCGGCTTGCTTTCGCCGCGGCGGGGTCTGCAGGCTCCCGCTGGCACGAAATGGAGGGCGCTGGACCCGCTGCGCCACGGCTGTGTCTGCTCTGAGTCGCGGCCGTAACACCTGAAAAACCCCCTACACTCGGAAATCCCGAAACTAATGGCAAGGGAAGGGGCTAAAATATCCTTGAAACAGGAATAAAAAATATGTATATATAAAATATGGTGCTAGATTAAGAGCTTGTCCATGGATTTATCAGGAATTGCACTCTCTGGTGAGAAGTCTTTACTCAGTTTTACCCTGGTATATAATTAGGAAAGGCAGATGATTCTGCACCATATGACTCCATCAAAAGGATTCCTACAGGAAGAAATAAATGTACTGAAAACATTGATCCTCAAAATGTTTTCTAGGGATTTCTGAAAAGCATTGTTTTTTCTTGCTGCTGGACTAAAGCAACAAAGCTGCCTCAAAACAATTAATACGGACTGAAACAGTATCATGTAAAGTACTTGTAAAATGCAGAAGTACATTGCTGTTTTATTTTCCATAGAAATACTGCAACTTACAATTGTGGACTTGCCATTCGAGCATAGCTTTTGAACTAGTAAATTTAAAATAAATTGCAGAACTGTCTTAGACTAAATTTTAAGATGGTTCAAAGCTTCATGCCATTCAACAAATACTATAGAGGCAGCTACTGTAAATATGTATTTCTTCATACATAAATAGATGAAAAGGAGACAGAAGATTTTCTCAAATATTGATCTTAACATAAATAATTTTTATTTAATCAACTTTTTGTTTTTCTTTCGTGAAAAATATTAATTTTTAACTTTCCATTTCAAATTCGTAGGCTTGCATGTTTACGTAATGTAAGTGTATTCTCTCAGACTCTGCAAGCCCAGGTCAATTAAAAGCACACAGTAAAGGTTACCCTCGTTTTTACCATTCTGTGTCTACAAGAGCTTTCCTTTCTTATTCTTACCTTAAAAATGCTCACATCAGAACTGTGTCATGTTACACTATTCCAAAATTTACACACATTTAGATGCTTTAATCCACTTCCCCATCTAATTACTGGGCAGACAGCCAGGGGTAAGAACCATTTCATTCCAAACAACATGACAGGATCTTGGCCAGCACAGAATAACAGACGATTTTATGAGAAAAGCTTAGTATCAGGATTGCTAATGAACCCATTGTCTGAAATTAAATTCTGAAGCCACCAATATAAATCAGTAATTTGAATAAAAGCAGGGAAATGTTTGTGCTTATGAGCATGCAATAAGCATTCATTTTGTGCTTATAATAAATTCTGAAACCAGAAAGCATTTTTACTTCTTACTATTAGAGAAAGCCTTCTTCGATTCTGGCCTCGGGCAAGTTTCCATCTTAGTTCACAACATCTGCTTTTAGCTGACCAGACTTTAAAGTTTAAAGCGATAATACAAACAGTTCATTTTTTTAAAGCTATTTTTTCTTCGATTCCCTTCCCTAGGTGACATCTCCCTCAACACACACACAAATCACATAAAATATATAGCAAAGCAGTCTCTCCACTGCTCCGAGACAGTTTAATTTTTGATTTTCCCCAAGCCTAACATCTGATCTGCCATATGTTTCGAGTCTTTCCAGCTCGTGGAGATCACATACTAAGTCATAAACCTGCATGTTCTGGAGCAATGCAACGAGAAAATCATCAACACCAGACATTGGTCAGTGATCCATATAACAGAATAATACTCGTAGTAAATACGAAGCTATTAGGAGAACCTACAAATTGAACAAACCAATTACAAACAAATTAAATGGAAAAAAAAGTATCAAGACATAAGAGAGCTGACAGTTGTCGGTGTCTTCTCTCAGTTTCCTTTGTTTGGCTTTATCTGCAATTTTAGAGACGTGACAAAACCATTGGTCCCTAAAAGATGCCCTAAACCTTACAAGCAATCACTGTGAAGTTTTAGAAGGTCTTGAAGTCATGGGTGACCCCTGA